TTTTGTGACCAACCCCTCCTTTCCTTCCATCTTGGAGCCATCCAGGCAGGGGCCACGACTGTGGCACTTACATTGTTAGGGTGTGGCTTTTGTAGGCCTTTCGTAGGCCTCACAATAAATACCCATTTTATTCTCCTTAACTCTGTCTGTAGCCTCTGTTCCAGCTCCTCAAGGCATCAATCCCACTGGCACCAACAAAGATCTGTGGGACATAAACCAATATAAGATATGTGGGATGTATCTCACTGGGACAGAAAGACTTCTACTCTTTCAGTTCTCTGTTAAGACAACATGCTACATGCTCAGATGGAAAAAGCAATCTATAATGTGAAACTTTTTGAAAATATATTGTAAAGTTTTTCAAATGTATTTGCCTGATGGCAAATAATGCAAGTTCTTTCAAAGTTTTGTTCACTCCTTGTCTTGCCAAATGTGACATTTGAGCTATGGGCTGTGTGATTCTTCAGTGGAGCCCTTTGAAAGCAAAAGCATCAGGACAGGCACCTGTGCTTGAAATACATCAAACCAGTGGTTTTCTAAGGGTGTTCACATGAAACACAACAGGTTTCCCTCTCTTTTGACTCCATGACTTTGCATGATAATTTACCTTGTAAAATTTACCTTTCTTTTTATAAAATTTGTTCAAACCTCTAAGGTACATGGGCACCTCTGAGCTGCCTTTGATGTTTTAGAGACAGTATCTTTTTCTACAAAGGAATGAAAAATACCAAAAATATTTCAATTTATATGCTTATTATTATCATTGGAGACAGTAACTCTGGGCATGACACAAACTGCTGCTTTATTTGAATACAGCAGCAGCAGTCCAGAAAATTTACAACAAAATATGAAGCTCAAGACAATAAGAAAATACATAAAGACAAAGCAGCACAAAAATACTGTGTCATCGTTAGCCCAACCTAGACTCTTGGTGACTTTTATCAGGTGTTCTCACTGTTCAGTAAGTTGGCTGAGTACTTGTATGTCTTGTGAGCATTAACACAGAAAGGAGGAATCGGTAGGAAAGTCCATGGTTGATAGTCAGCAATGAAATTGGATTGTCTGATCAGGGAATGCCACTCATAAGAGTTACAAATGATAATGTAATCTCAGTTCCAAGGATTTATTAGGAATGGAGAAACCCCAGAGTGAAGTTGTCTTTAATATCTTCAAATGCTGGAGCACAAGCTTGCACAAGTCAGTGGTTGTATTTACCATCTTTGGCCTGGTTCTTTACATGCAGCTGGTGCTTTACAGCAGATTCATATCTATAGCAGCTGCTTTTCCTTTTAAAACCTTGTTCAGTTTTACAACCCCTTTGAATGGATTTTTTCAATCCATGAATGGGACAAGGCTCAAGGGAACCGTGTAAAATAATGCTTCAGTAGATGGCACTCTCCCTCTGAAGGAGGATGGGCAAATACTTCAGCCAAGGAATTAGATGCAGTGAGAACAGCTTCCTTTATACTCCACAGAAATCACAGTGAATGCACATAAAGCTCTGCCTAGCTATGCAACCCCTGGCAGATTTTCACAAATCTGGATCTCTCAAGTCTTCACATCTGGCTTCCTTTGTGCTTGAATGCCTGTAGTCTGTTTACACAATCTATATTGTATGTATTTTGCATATATGCATATGTATATGTATATTATATGTATGTATATAATATATATAAATATAAATAAAATAGCTCAGTGATAATGTAAGTTGCACAGATTAGACTCAGAGTTTACAATTGTTCTGCTTTTCCAATATTTTTTTTTCAAATTCTTTATTTTATTCTACTATTCTGTTTATTCTACTTGGGAACTTAAGTCCTTTGATTTGTTGATAGTTTTCTGTTGGTATTTTCTAGTCTCAAAATTTCATAGATCCAGTTTAGAGTACTGAATTAGTGCAAATGAGGAGGCCTCAGCTGCAGGTATGGGGACAATGAAGACCTGCTTGGCCTTAGGGAAGCTACAACTTTTTGAATCAAATCTGTTGCTAAACAAGCAGCAATTGTACAGCCATTGTACATCTTTCTAAACTGTTTTCCTCACCCTTGAATAGGAAGATAAAACAAGAATATGAAATAAATGTGATTAAGACAAAGTTGCAATAAAAAATTACATGGGACAAATTTATAAAATGCAAATTTAATCAGTTCAGTTTCTTAGGGTTTTGGATTCTTGAGTACTGTGAGTGTATTCTTCCAATTTACTGTTTTTTAAGCATTTAAGTACTTTTTTTCTTATTTGACTGGCACACAAGTCACATAAGAGTACACAAGTTCTCAATCACTGCCTCTCCTTTACACTTTGCAGAAATCCTTTTTCCATTAATTAAAACCGCAGGGATAACAGTATTTTTAAAATCCAGACCCAGGAGCTAAAATTTTACTATCATAGCTCAAATAGAGTTGACTTCCCCCCCCCCAATATTTATGTGAGAGCCTGAGGGTGTTTGGGGGCCTGATAGCATGAAGAGGCCCTAGGTCATGAATGAAGGATGAGTAGAAAGAGTATTTGTGTACATCTCTCCAGTGACAGTCAACTTTTGAGCAATCAAAAGTTGGCACCATTCAAACTAGATAATAGAATATCTGTTAAAATCAGCAGTTCAAACAGTGGCATGCTGCAGAAGCAAAATGGTAGATTAATAAGTGTATTTTTTACATTTTCTATTTTTGAGTCAAAACTAAACGAACCTACTGTGAGTGTCATGTGCTTAAGGAACTGTGTCCAAAGGCCGTATTTTCTGTCATTTGCAGAGAAGCTATACTCCAGATTCAATGCTGGACCTGTGAAAGCTTTCTGTTGAAAGAACTATATAGCTGTAGCTATAGTATAATGCTATAGTATAGCTATAGCATTCATCTGGGGTTTTTTGGCAAATAGATTTAAATTTCCAAATGCATTTTTTACAGAATTCCAAACAGCCTTCACACAGTAAGGTTACTGCTTGGAAGTCTCTTTTGCACACAAACTGAATGGAAATGGTTTGGAGATGCTTTTTAAAGGTTGTACAAAAGAACGGAATTTTTTTTCCCCCTTTGGCGACAAAAATCAAGATGTTAAGCATGGGACATTTACTATTTGAAGCATGTTCTTTAGAAATAGAAATATAAAATAATAAAAGCAAAAATAGCCTAACATTTTTATGGTAATACTATTTTTTCTTCTTCTGCAAACTTGAGCTGGCATTTTATTCAATTAATAAGGAAACTTATCAAGGTCATGAAACCAATCAGAAACATTTGATTTATAGTTTCAACGTTTACCTTTATGGCAGCTGTTGTGATTTCAGAGTGTGTTTGAAGATCCACAAACCAGCCTTCTATACTGGCTTTCAAGTAGTTGTTTCAAATCAAAGAACAATTGCCCGAGTCATCAAAGTATGTATCAGGACATCTGGTTTTATGTCTTCAGGCAAATTACAGCCTAATTTTCAGATGTTATGCACTTCTTTAACTCCCACTTATCTAAAACAGAGTAGCAAGAGTTTGGCACCTCTGAAACTTTTTTTTTAAACCGTTTTGGGAATATCTTCTCTACAGATGCATTAGAAAACTGTTCGCAATACATTTTGAAATGTTTGGTAAGAGCATTACAGAAATGCAGTCATTACTAGCAAATGTTTCATTGAAACAGTCCTATTGTTTTTTATCTCAGTGCAGTACAGTTCAAGTTACCTTCAAAGAACCTCAAAATTAAATATTACCATTTATTAGACAGAACAGAGCAAGAGACAGATGGAGCATGTGATGGATAACAGGGTTTTAGGATGAAAGCTGAAGGGTGGAAGTTGATGAGCAAAGGTGAAGAGCAAGTGGTGGCAAGAGTAGGACCAGGCAATCAAATGGGTTCCCTATTCTTTAGAAGACCCCCACTGAAAGGATCCAGAAAACATGGTGAGAAAGTAGACATACTCGCCCTGCTTTTGATAACATTGAGAAGCCAGACAGAGATCAGAACTCTATGGGTTTGCAGAGTTGGTCAGGTAAGTAGGCAGAAAAATCAAAGTCCCAATTCTTTGTAATTAATTACATTATGTAATAGAAGTGTCATATTTTTTGGTTTACCTATGTAGGTAGGCTTATTTGTGACAAGTGGTAATTGGGATTAGGAAAATTACATCAAGAGAAAAAGCAGCAGTTGTTGGACAGACCAGAGGGATTTGGGTGAGTCTGTTCATGAGTGTTTGGAGATGGGTGCAGAGCAAAGGGTTGATTTTCAAACATGATTTGTTTAGAAAATAAAGATTAATTAAAGGACAGAGGTGAAAACTTATCAATAAATGTATCAAATGCAATAGTTAGAATAAATCCACAAAATCTATTAATAAGTTAATAAAAGTGATTAACTTTCAGCAGACCTGTATCTACAGGATCCCTGATTAAGGTGACTGTGAATCAAACCAGTTTTTATTGGAATCCTCAATATTACAAATATCACCTCATTCTACAAGAATTAAACCAGGGTCATTTGTAAAACTCTTCAGCTAAGGATGGGCACATGCACCAGACTGGTGAATTAAGCAAAAGGAGAACTGAACGTTTTCCTTTTACTACCTCTTTCTGCATAAAACCACAGATAATTTGTGCATCCTCCCATTGCTAACTTATACAGCCCACTTAGCAGGACTGGCTTGACAGGAAGAAAACAAATTCGTTTTGCTAAATTCATTTGGCCACTATCTTTTTTTCTTTTCTTTTTTTTTTTTCCTTTTTTCCCCAGTTTTCTATTCTTGCTGATTTGCAAAGTCTCAGGTGACTGAGTTATGTGTTGTTTGTCCAACAGCTCCTTTGTTCTGATCTGTGCTTCAGCAAAAACTGGAAAAACCTGTTCACTTGCTCTTTTTTTTTTTTTTTTTTTTAATCTTCCTCACTCCAATTGGTAGCTGCTGCTTGTACACATGCAGGGAAGGTGGTGCCTGCCTTTCATGTGGAAAGCTGCCTTACGGAAACAGGTTACATTTTGCATTATCCCAGAGTTTTTCTAGCCTCACTCAGGCTTTAGTGGACGCTCCATGACTTAAACTCCATCTTCTCTCCATGAAATGTTTAGGTCAGTATCTTATTTTTCTTGAAGAGAAAGGAAGATATGTCTCCAGTGCACTCATTTTAAATAATAATTTATGAACTCTAAGAGATCTGCAGAAACCAGCCTTGTGAAATGTAGCTTTTTGGACTCAGAAGTCTGTCTGCCTTACAGCATCTGCACATGGTGTGGTCTTAATATCTGTAAAACAGAACAGTGAGGAGGCAAGCTAGTGCAAAAAGCAGACAAATTGAGAAGAAACTTTTGTTTCCATCTCCTTCTTTTTCTTCTTGCTTTGTGCTGCTGTTGGAATAAGAATGGGTCAGCTATGTGGACGATGCATGCAGCTCCTGCGGGACTTCATAGGCTTTGTTCAGAGGATGTCCTCTGACTTGGTGCAAGGCATCAAGGAATGCTTAACTCTGATAAGCAAATGCTCCTGCTTAAAACAAAACAGCTCTAAAAACAGACAACTGTACAAGCCCATCCTACAGCCTCATGAAAGAGTGACAGCACAGGAGTTTCTACAGCATATTGAAACAGGTAAGAGGACTTGTCTTTTTTTAAAAGACTGTGAAAGAGCAAGGGAGTTAATTTTGTGGGTTGAAAGGAGATTGCTAGCTGATCTCCTCTGGCATGGCATTGAGCACCTTGGTGATGATGAGGAGAGACTACAGAGCTACAGAGCATTTTCTTTGTGTACAGGACACCAAGGGCTCAAGTGGTGCAACAGTTTGATCTAGGTAGAAATGGTCAATCACTTTCTTGCTCTGCCACCACTGTTAATATATAACCATGTAAATGTGTTTTGTAAAAGTGAGTCCTAGAAATTACTTTTTTGAAGTCAGTCAAAAGGAACTGACAAAATTGAACACGGGCTTTGCTAAGACAGGATGCTACATGAGTGCTGAGCTGTGAGTGGGCAGATGACAGTGTGATGTACACAGTTATGCACCTCTGTGTTGGCTGAACACTTATGCTGGAAATGTCTGGGCTATACACGGGAAAGATCAAAGACACCCTGGGACAACAATGATTGAGGTCTCAGGATTCCAAGCAACTGCGCTTTTGTGCAAATGTTTTTGACATAGGCTTAATCGTAATCATGGGAGTCTGCTTGAATCAAAATAGATCCATAACTCTTCATCTATCTCCTTTGCTTTACATGTTATCTGCCTAATTTCCCCTGTTTTTCTGTTTGGGATGTCCTCTTTGTCTTGTCCTAGGATACAATATCAATAGGAAAACTTGGTTTTTTATTTCACTTCTGCAGTCATTTTGGATGAGTGTATTTTGTTGGTTGTCCAGTGTAAAAAGAGTCCTTATCTCAAGGGATTATTGCTTGTTTGGTTTTGCTTTATCTCATAACTAATTTGGTATGTTTAGCAGCTTTGTGTTTAGCAGCTTTGGGTTAAAACTACTACACAAAATTGCCTAGTCTCCTACTTCTGTTTGTATGAAGGGTGTGGAACTACTATTTCTTTACTTGCCTTTTTGGGAACATGAAACAATCTCGTGAGGGGAGACATTTTTCCTTGGTGTGACATGATTAATGCCGTTTGAAATGATCTGTCATGGAACAGCCTTTGGAATAATTGCTGTGACTCTGGTTGTTGGGATCATGTGTGAATTAGCCTCAGCTGGTATTCGCTGGTGTCATTATCCAGTGAATGTGGTGGGTCCTGTGCTGCCGATAAGATTCACTGATTGTTGCACCTTTAGCACTGGTTTAAATCCTAATGTTCATATCCAGAATAGGGACAAATCTTCCAGATTGTTATACAGTGGAGATCTTCCAGGCTGAACTTTTTTTCCGAAGGCTAGCATGCTCCTGACTCCATAGGATACTGTCTTGGCAGTATCCCTGCACAGCTGATGGATGAGATGTAATGAAGGGGAGGCCAGAATGGCCCCTTGTAGCAGCCACTGGTGCTCCCTGAAAAGACTAAATGGGTGTTTTCTTGAGAGATCCTTTCTTCCCTGAGATTAGTCTTCAAAAGTCTGGTCTGTCTTGGATCCATGGGAGTTGGGAAACAGCAGCAGGAAGCCTAGAGCTTCTCTGACAGCAGTACACAGACGACAATGAGGGTTTTCAGGGAGGTCCCACTGTCCACAACAGGACGCATACACTGCCCAGGAAGCAGAACCAAGGTTAATTCTCTGAGTGGCCAAATCTTACTGCCTAGACAAATGGAGGTAGGGAAGCCTCCCAAAGAGAAACAAGACACATCCCTCTTTAACACTCACCTGTGTATTCTCTTACAAGAGGGAACAAGCCTATCCTCAGTTTTGAACAAAATATAATAAGTAGAAAGACAGTGTTTGGACAATTTGGGTACAAGGAAAGACTTCATCGTTGATCATCATACTCATCTATTAGCCAGGGCAGCAAATTTGGATATTTTAAGCAAGTGAAGATTTTGAGTGGCTTCAGCTTTATCACTCTCCCAAACAAAACCACAGATATCTGAAAGAATCAGATAGATTCAGTTTCAGACAGTTAAAGGAACAGAATTAAACCACATGAAGAGATTTTTGTTTTTTTCTCTTAAACCTTGCACACACAAAGTCCTTCCCTTTGTGTGTATTACTAATATTTTTAAAATCGATCTTTATATGAAGCAATTCTGTGAAGCTCACTTACCTAAGCCTGAGGATAGGAGTTTGCTAGTCTTGACATGTCAGCAGCTTCTAGTGGCTTGAGATATTGGCTGTGTTTTGCACTGAGGCATGAAAGCTCATGCCCCTCACATCCCTCACATTTCTTTGTCCCATGGGAGGTGAAGTAACTAGATATTTTTCATAGAGATATTTCAATCATTAATGCACAGATTTAATCTATGGCCTGAAAATATATCTTATAATTGTGTGCTCCACCAGTTGATCAGTCATACATTACATTTTTAACTCTGTTCATTGGTTCAACATTCCTTTCATTTCCCTCTCTGCTGCTCTGTTCCACATATTCTATTATACAGTGACTTACAGAAGTCATACATGAGTGCTATTGCTTGATGACTGTTGTTGAACATCTGGTTTATTCATGAGGGACCTATCATACTCAAGAACAGGTAGACTCATGCTAGAAATTTAACCCTGAGGTAAGCCCGTTTGCAGTCCATGCTGCTATTCCTTTAAATCCTGTCTTTCAATTCCCAGTGCAATAAACACAGTGAACTTCAGATGTGGTAAATTAGAAATATATACTCCTTCTATACTTAGAAATATATATAGAAATACAAAATATATTAGAAATATATACTCTTACTTAACTAAGAGCACCATGTTCAGTATTTTAACAAAGATTTGGAAAAATATAAAGATTTTTGTGGAGAACAAGAACACTTGCATTTTTTTTAGATGGCATAAAAGTGTCTAAGGGTTATAACTTGTCTTGTTTCCAGTCACTAGCTTTGTGAGCTTTACAAGAGGCATTGCCAAAGACAGATTATTCCCAGTTCATCTATTGCTTCTGCTCATGGAAACATGATGAAAAGATAGATGGGCTTTATGGAGTTGTTGCAGTATAAATATCCTTATGTGTTTGTAAATTTTAATTTATTTTTGTAAACTAATCCTTTTCAGATGTAATTGAGCCTGTACTGTCATTTTACATCTTTAGATTTTGAAATGTCTCCACTTGGAAAGGACCCTCTGGAAGCCTTGAGGACCCTGTCCTTTTCAGAAAACCCAGGTTTACAGCAGTCGGCTGCCCTCTATTACTTGCATATGAGTCAGCACAGTAAGTTATCTCAGAAAGCATTACAAAATTTTCATGAAAACTTAAATAAAAATATTATTTCAAACTGTGAAACTCCTTTTGATTCATTAAGCAAGTTTTTGGTTTTGTTTTTGTTTTTGTTTTTTTTTTTTGCTTTCATACTATGTTGTTTGCCAAGGAAGATGAAAAGCTGTCACCACACAGAGTCAGTTCTGGGTTTTGCTATAAGGAGATATCTCTTATGATTATAAAAGATAGTTATTAATGAAATTGTTATACTTCTGTTATACTTCTGGAACTTAGCAGAACCCAAAGTATTTAGAGTTAGTGTATGCTGAAGCTCCTGAAAGTAACACAGTCAAAATATGGTGAAAGGAAATCAACATAGTGACCAGTTAATGTTTTATATTGTATAAAAAAGAGGTCAAAGCTCCAGAAGCCAGTGAAAATTTGTGAAGGAAATATTCTTCCTTCTTCCAACTATTCTGTAGCAGCACTTGGCTTTTGAGGTAGTTTGTTAATGGTTAGGAGTCAGACTAGATATCCCAAATAAAATACCAGCAAGAGTTTGGATTCTACAAAAAGGTAAAAATACTAGCAATAAGCAGCTTGCAATTTATTTGTCTATTTGTTTATTTTGATTTTACTTCAAAGAGAATCTTCTGTGACTTGGATGCTTTATCTCATGGGTTTTTTACTGGATAAAAAGTGCAGGTAACCACAACGCAAGGACCTGCCGTGAGGCAGAATGACTTGTTTGGTAGCAAGGCACACTGCTTCCCTTCCCATGATGTTTTTGAAGTACTTGATTATTCAAAACCTCTTCAGGAAACTTGCCCTGTTTGCTAGTAGCAGTGGAATTTTAACGAAGGTGAATACCACTCAGCCTGTCTATAGGAGCACCTGAGACTTAAGTCCATCAAGGGAAAAATGTGACTGTGGTGAACAATGGGACTCATGAATATTTCCTCTCATTCTTGCAGTGAACATCCCCCTACCTGTGGAGCATCTGGAACCCTTCTATGCTTTACTAAGTTCTGCTGACCTGGAGGTGCAGCAGATGTCTTCATTGTCCCTTGTCAACTTCTTGCTGGAAGGAAATAGTGAGTTATTATGACACATCTCTCTTCAGGTGAAGAAGTATCTCTTCAGCCAGACTCGGACAGAAGGAGGGCACTTCTACACAAATCTAGATTCCTTTTTTTGTGTTCCTCATAGGACAAGTATGAAACTGATTCTGACTGTAAAATACATAGCTTCTGGTGTCACCAAGACACATCAGATCCCTCCAGCTATATAATGTGGCAAGAATTCTTGGATCTGTATGCAAAGGCTGATAAATTATTCCCACACCAGTGTGGGAATTCTATTCTCATTCTTGGATCTACAAATATTTTTCCTTTCAAACAACAGATACAGCTCATAGAAAAACACTCTTTGTACAAGACAGTGTTCATTTTCTGGTTATTTATGAACTGGACTGTAGTCTTAAATTGCTTGCAGAGAAAAAAAAAAGTTTAAATGCTTAGTGTAATTCACTTGCTTCTGAAACTAAAGGGGAAAATAGATTTGAGATAGAATCTGGGAGATGCAGAAGAAAAACTTCCCAATAAAGTTTATGTTGATAGACAGGGCATGAACATGCCACACCTCATCAATGGAGTCCTTGTTGCATCTACTACTGCAGTCCTGGGCACCTGGGCCATAACAAGTATTCCATCCTGCAGTCCCGTAATAGCAGAAAACAGGCCTTTTTCTTTGGTTCCTTTTTTAAGGATTTTGCTGCAAATAATATGATGTCACTTTTTACAAATAAAAAGTAATATTTAAAGGGTAAGAAAAAGAAGACGAAAGGGTGGGGGTATTGCTTGTAAATTGTGAACCTATTGGGAAGCTGCAGTTGCTCTTGCCAACATTAACCTGATTTGGGACCTTCTGGCCTAAAACCTCCAAACATCTATTGCACTCTTTCATGCATCTGAAAGGTAATTAAGCAAACCCAACTAGGGACTGTGAGTGGCTTTCAGGCTGTTTCCATCTTAGGTCTATTTTGTATAATCACAATTTAGCTCTCCAAAGCAGTCAATGGATGATGTATTCTTTCCACAAAATCACTAATCGTTTACTTTTTTATTTGTCCATTTTTTCTTGAATTTTGAATAGTTGACAAAGAATTAGTTATCCAAATGGGTTTACTTGAGCCAATTCTGGATCTGCTTGAGTCAGAGGATCCCACCGTCCAGTGTAATTCCTGTGCCTGCATCATGACTTTGGCTGTTTCAGGTGAGTGTTCTCTTTGTCTTTATCCTCTGCTGTGAATTCACTTAACTCTTCCATCATATTTTAAGATGAAACAACCTATTTGCATTTAGCTTAAGAGTCATAGGACACAGCAAGTTTTGTTATTCCCACATCATGAATTCAACCTCCTGACGTTCCAGTTATTTTTCACAGTGTTTCTAACCTTTGTGCTCTTATGATTACAAATCTTTTGCTGATTTTCATCCTAAATGTATTCATGACCAGCTTATCATAATTAATGTCTACATTGGCTTTTGCTTCAGGAGTTCTGTCTCTCTAATGTCTATGCTGATGAGGTTCCTTCATTTTACTAGACTGAGAAAGCCAAGGTCTTTTAAGACTCCTCTTGTAAGTGAGACTCTCCATTCATCTTCAGAGTCCTTCCAGGTGTAAATGATATGTTCCAGGAATGGAGCGTAGCATTTGCATGTGCTGTATCATGGTACCACAGGCTTCAGGCATTGTTACAGTGCCAAGATATAGATAAATGCTGCAGGAATTCCATTTTGGATTCAGCTCTTCTGAAAGAAGAAATGTGCAGTATTTCTTTCAGCTGGGGTCTCACCTATGCCTTTTATTGTGGAACGTAGGAAAATTTCTTTTCCTAGGGAAGATTTGTGGTACATCTCATGTGAACACTTGCAGGTTTGGTGGTTGTGCCATGGTGATGTTGTCATCTTAGAGCTGACTTAATCACTTTGTTTGCTCCTCCTTTGCTGCTATTTCCAGCAGAGACCAAGTAATCAAGGCTCTACCACATTCCAAGTGCACATCCCTGCATTTTGTACAAATTTCATTCTGTTTCCATTGCTTCAGTCTTCTAACTTGTCTGTTATTTGTAAAATATTCTGGTCATCCACTGCATTGACATTTCTATATTCACATATTTGGTTTAATTCTCTGGTTCAAAGCAAGTACAGACTAGCCCTCATGCAATTCCACTTGTAGCCTCTTCCCAGGTGGTCATTCCCATTCAGCAAAACTTGCTCCTAGTTTGTTTCAGTCAGTTTGTTATCCATCATGTACTACTTGTATTTGTCACCAACTTCTGCTTAACAATGCGTATTTCATATAATGATATTAATATTTTCCTGGTATCCAGACAGGTAAATTCAGCCACAGTTACCAAAAGGTTATAGTGTTAGTCTGTCTTACTCTACCTTGTGCAAACTCATAGTTCTCCAGTACAAATTGTGTACAAGTCCATAGAAAAGCCATGAGTAACATTTATTTTCCTGCAGCATTTATTCTGCCAGCTTTCTTCTCCAGCAGGGGAAGTTGTCGTCTGATGTCCCAGAAGGCTGAGGGAAGCATGATGAAAGTGTTAATTTCTCATTTAAGTATTTATGTGGCAAAGGAGGAGTGGATAAGCAGGATCCAACCACATGAAAGTCCTTATTTGCATTTTATCCCACCTTTTGGTTTTATTTTCAAGTTTTTAAACACTTCCCTTAGGAGCTTATTTTTAAGCATTGTATATCATTGTCAGGTTAAGCATTCTACATACTATATTACTTTGTGTGGAATGCAAATTGCCTCATTTAAATGTCTTAATTAGGCATGGCATTACTAAACTTTTAGGTAATTGGCACTAGAAGGATTTTCTTTGTGTAGGTTCAGTGAAGTTAATCCCTTGATGATTTACAGAGCAGTGTCCCTTCACCTGTTTTAAACAGTCCATGGAGAAAGTGATTTGTTTGGGCACCTAAGGATGTAACTTAGTCCTGAAGACACTCTTGCCCTTCTAGATGTCCAACGTGGAATATAGAGAATGCTCAGCTACTCCAGATCCAGGCTACCTTCATTCCCTGTAGTCTTCTAATGCCTTTTCTCCCTCCCTGTAAGTGCCAATGTCCTTCTGAGCACAAGTACTCCAAATTAAGCACTCAAGGAGCTTTCAAAGCTGAACACAGCAGTAGGCAGTCCTGCATAGGCTGAGTTGCTGCCTAGAATTTGATCAGTGTTGAAGATCTCTGTCCTAGTTTAACTAGGATTTAAATGGGCTGGATACATTTATTTGTTTTTCATACTATATTTAGGTACCACAGCAATGAGACTAAAGCAAGAGGCAATTCTCCAGGGTTTATTTTAATTTTAACTCTCAGACTCTAATATTTTTAAGTGTCTGTTTGAGAAAAGTATGCTGTTCAGTCAGTCATATCCTTCAAGAAGGCCATTTATGCAAAAAATATAAATATGGAAGCACAACCAAATGAGGAAGATCCTTAGATGGCTTTAAGGTGACAAAAATTCTGCATCTAAGAATGGTCTTAATTCTGTTGCAACAAGCATGCAAGACTATGTACAGAATGAAATTGTTTAGCAGTGTTACTGCAGGTCATGTGTAAACTGGGTTGTCTCCCTGCTGCAATAGGGAGCTGAAAGTAAGAAGAGCAAACAAACCCATTCAGATGAAAAATATTTGAAGGTTAGTTTGTTCCAACACCAGCATTTGTCCACGTAGCAAACGGACACATGCATAGTTGCAATTATCTGCAGCTTTTCAATCAGTGAGTGAAAGTAATCAGTTCTGGGATAAGAACTTAGAGTAGTTCAGAACAGAAGTAAATGTTCACATCTTCAGGGTTTAGGGGGGCCTGAGCATCTGCTTTAAGCTAAGACAAGGAGGATGCACTGAGTGTAAAGCACATTCAGAGCTGTTCTGATGGGAATTTTTAAGCACACAAATGTCAGAGAGTGGAAAGAGAATTTATAAATTAATGAGTTATTCAAACACAGGTTGAGTAGATGTTGTTGATTTCCCCATTTTAGAGAAGCATCTCAAACACGTCTTTCTTCTAAAAGCATTCCAAGGGGCATCACTGGTGAGACTGAATTTTTTAAGATAAATGTGGTCCAGGAGAAAAACATGATCTAGCCTGCCACATCTCTTACAGAGATGGCAATACAGTTACACATCTTGATGAGATAGATTTCCCCATCCAGTCTGTCGTTGTAAACTGGCAAAACAAATGTTCAGGCACTATATCTGATAGAAGAAAGAATTTACCTAATTTTTGTCCAAATGTTTGTAATCCCTTTTCTCAAATGTAAGGTTCTTTTTCACATTCACGAACATTCATGAAGTGTATTGCATACAAGAATAAGGGAAGCAGCTACATCTAAATTCTTTCTTAATCTTTTTACCTCTCTTTTTTATTCAGCTGAGTAGTTTGCATCACACCAGTTGGAGCTATACAAAAGACTTTCTGCTTCTACTGAGGGAAACAAAAGAATGGTATATAGGCAGATTAGATTAGAGAAAGGGCTTGTCTATGAAAGGGACCAGAATAATAGCTTCCCACATGGAAAAGCTGTTTTTAAATAGATTACTCTTCCCAGAACAATTATTTTTCTCAATTTTTTTCCAGAATAAAAGTTATTTACTTTAGTATATACTTGTAGGAAGAGAGAAAACTACTTGCCCTAGAATATTAAACTGATACTATGTGAACTATACTTGAATAAATATACTGGCTAATCTGTGTATGTCAATTTCCCACTATATAGGCTCTAGGTATAAAATTTTGTTCTCATAATTCTCTAAGTTAGTTAGCACTTGAAGAACTAATCTCATCCAAATACCTTTTCTTTTTTTCTCTGTCTGCTTCATGTTTCTCTCAGCAAACTTCCACAGACTGGCCATCATTTAAACTGTGTATAAATATTGTCAATTTTTCAGAATTATGTATTATAGTTTTTCATTTTTTCATCAGTTTTTCATCCAACAGACTTAAGGAATTCTGCAGATCTTTTTTGAGTTCTCCTTGTACTCCAAGTTGTTGAATACAGCTGTACAATTTAATACATTGCCATGCAAAGAATCACGACAACTTCAGAGAAGCACCATCTTTTCAAATTCCAATGTTTAAATCATCTTTAGAAACCTTTGAACTGTTTGTAGCTATCAAGTGAGTAACACAGGGACATTCCAAGAGACAAATTGCCCTAGTAAATTAATTAAGCCTTACCTACAGTTGATGATGTAGTTTTTGGTTATCACTGTGAATAGGTTGATCAGAAATACCGAGAGTATGAAGCAAGTACGGCACTTTGTTAGCCTGTTTAAAGCGTCTTAAGGATATTTTAATTATCCTAGTCACAAACCAAAAGCATTGAACCAGCTGTGATTTATGGCTAATCCAGAAGTCATGAGTTGGTTTCCTTCCTGTTAAGCTCTCAGAATTTTTAACAGTTTCCTTTGAGCATGCAGAGAAATCAGAAAAGGGAACACCAAAGTCCTGCTAGTTAGTCCTGCTTGTGGTTCACAGTAACATGGCAGTAAATATTTCTTTCTTTTTTTCTCTGATTCTTTTCTCCAGAGTCCAACCGAGAAGCTATTGGTGCTGCTAGAGGAATTACACCCCTACTGTCTCTTGCCAAGTCCTATGATCCCAGAGTCCAACAAAATGCAGTTGGTGCTATTCTGAACCTCACACAGTCAGGTACTTTCAGACTAATGGTTTACCTAAATTGCCAAAAGAAAACTCACTGATAGAAAAATAATCCGAAAGGTTAAGGCAAGAATAAAAGCATATCTGAGCCACAAGTGATTTCCTCTGCATACAGCATTTGTATTAGTACCACAGGTTAATGATTTAAGTTGAGCTGATACAGGCCCATTTTTGCCTAGTAGCAAAACAGAAAAGCTTGATTTCCAGATCCAAGGGGCTAGTGTTTGAATATTTAAACAATCAGTCAAAGAAATAGAAAAAAAAGATAGCCATTTGTTAAAGAAATAATTTGGCCTAAAAAGTTAGCAGGACATTTGGTGTACTTTAAAGCAAGCTCAAGAGTTTATCCAACACAGTTGAGCTTTAGCTCCTAAAGCTTTTTGCTGGTTCTGACTAACTCAGTGCTGGAATATGCAAAGTATAACTATCATGGGTCACTCATTAAAGGCTCCTGAAATATCTGCCAACAGCTTTATCAAGAACAGTACTTGATCCTCTGCAATTATACGTAGACTACCATAATTAACTCTGAACCAAACAAGCATTAAATCTCAACCACCAAGATGATACCATTATTCCACAGAGCTAAACAATAAAGTCATGAGTAACATCTCTGAACTTTGCGTTGTGGAAGAAAACAGTTGGCAAGAACTTATACAGTTGGCTATTACATTTCTGGTATTATTCTGAGTATTTTAAATAATTTGTTTTTAAAACACATAGTAAAGATCTTACCTGAGGCTTTTCCGCTTCTCCACCAATTCAGATTCTCAGAGCAGTTTTTAGCATAAAACCATCAAAAGCTTAATCAGACAGCCTGCTAGTCTTTTTCCTAAAATACCTACATACTTCTGCACAATCTCTAAATTATATACTCTCTAATCACACTGACTGGCATACATTTGGACAACATCAGCACTCTTTAGAATCCAAGAACTGTGCACATCCCTTTTGAATGGTGCCTCCAGATGAGAGGGAGGGAAGGAGGAAGACACTTTTACTTTTTTTTTTTTAATGGCAGAGAAAATCCAACAAGTCCTATGCAAGGAAGGAGCCCTACCAGTTCTTGCCTTGTTGCTGGAATCTCCTGACTCAGAAGTCCAGGTATGACTAAAATAGGTCAGATTTTAAAACAGTAACATCGTGACTGTAAGGAGAGCACAAACCACAGTATGAAGACATGAAAACGGGTAGAGGAGGAAAGGTTTCTCTAGTGAAGTGGAGAAAAATGGGGAGCATCTTGGTGAAACACAGCTCAGTCAGACACTGTATATTAAAAGACTCAATTTGTCTCACTCCACAGGAGAAAGTTTATGATGCAAAATTTTTTCTGCCAGCACACATTAATGCATGCACAGGGTTGTTATGTGCTGCCTTCTTGTGTCTTTCAGATCATCAGACAAGGTGCAGATAGGTCTCTTCTATGGGTTTTGGTTTTTTTTTTTATTCTAACTTTGATCTTCCACTCTAAGCAATGTTACTAAGTATTCTGAGAAGATATAACTTGCAAAGATCTTTTTCTTGTTGTTATAAGTATCTGTAAAACATCCTATTTTATGCCTATCACAGACACCTCTTTGTGATTCTGCACACTCAGCAGAGAGCTCGTCTTAGTGAAAAAGTATGCTGATAAATAAATTATGAATCGGAATTGTAAGCCTTACACTGCTAGTTTGTTCATTCAGTTCTTTGAGTAGTACAGAATTGTTTGCTCCATCAGTTTAATTATCTCTACTCAGATTTTTTTTTTTAATATCTGAAGGGATGGATCCTCTGGAATTGCTTTCTGCAAACTGATTCAGTATTTTTAGATTTCTCTGAGATTCATCTTAAAATTTCCATCTCTGTAGCTCAACCTGTTTCTTCTAATTATACCTCCCTAGTAATAGATACTTTTATATGTGCAATCCTCCCTAGCGTTAATGGTTAGATCCTTTGGAAATAATCTCTTGGCATGCTAGGGCAATAGCTACATCCAGCTTGAGTAAATCAATGTAAACATATCATACAGTAGATGCAGATGACCTGACTTAGATGCCAGCAGCAATGTCATTGCAGCAGCAGAGCACATTCCCGAACAGTCAAGGTCCTAATGAGAGTACAACACGCCCTAGGATTGCTGTAGCAGCTATAGCACGTTGTGTCAACCCCATAAACACCCTTAAGGTGAAAAAGCATTTTATTTTCATTGGTTTTAAATCTGAGCATTTCTCCAATTTATTTGTATTCTCTTCAATGTGTCACCACTCTGACCTCTCTCTCTACAATTTTTCTTGGTTCTTTGCAGTATTACAGCTGTGCTGCCCTGAGCAACCTGGCAGCCAATGTTCAGCACCACAAAGCCTTGTTGAGACCCAGTGACAGATTCCTTCTGCGGACACTGATTTCTCTCCTATCCTCTTCTGTGGACAAGGTAAAGCTGTAGCTTTCCCTTTGTGCAAAGACTTAGCATCCGAGTAGAACTATAAACTTGGGCTTCCAGTTTCAGCCTCACATCATTCTGTTCACCTACTGTGCAGGTACCTATGCAGCATCTTTCCCATGAGAAAATACACCTATAGCAGAAAATACATGGATTCTACAAGGTCAATATATGAAGAAAGCAAAGGGAAATTATTGAAGTTGTTCTACAGCCCTGGACACTTCCTTTAGACTAGAATAGCCTGTATGCTATTAACTTGAAACATCATGTGAGAAGTGCCCTGTCCAGGCTCTGTCTTTGATCATTGTGTCTGTGACACAAGTTGTCTGACACATCTGTTATGCTACTTTTTTTTTTTCTTTTTGGTATCCGGAATTTTTGCTGTATGGCTTCAAGGAATAATATCTTGAAAATTTTGCTTTGTTGGAAGCAACATCAAAGAAACTTCAAGAAACCACAGTTCATGGTGGAATTGAAATTCTGCGTAGAAGGGAGGTGATAAAAAGGCAAAGCAAATGGGATCCTTTCTTCCCCTTCATTTTCCTATAACTTATCAGACATAAAATAAAGCCAACATCTGAACCCGATTCTGCATCAACAATAGGATGACTGATACTAGGAGAATGAAAAAAAATTCAGCAAAACTTTGAAAAAAGTGCCAAAATTTATTCTTGAAGATAATGTAATAGCTTGCTAGTGTTGTCATGTTTATTTTGTGTGCAATAGGCAAGAATATGCATTACTGAAACTGGTCTTTTTCCTCCTCTCTCTCATTTTTAATTTTTTTTTTCCTCTTTGGCACAAGCAGGTTTCAAGCCAGGCATGTGTTTGCCTAAGAAATTTGGCTACCAGTGGTAAGCAATGTCTTGGAGATAGAAATAGTGTGGTTTCTTTTTCTCTCACTGCCTTTCAGAGTGAGCTCAGTGGGCTGGGAACCTTTCCTATTAAAAGCAAAGAGACATTTTCTACATTTTAACTGGATGTTAAGGGAAGAGGAAGGTGCAGCGCATATCCTAACTTAATCTGTCTTAGAGCTTCCAGGTAGTAAGGGGAGTATCTGGAGAAAGTGAGAAAGGCAGCAGGGGTGTTCTTATACACAGAGCTTTAGAGAGTTGCTAAGCTTTCCTCCTTTCCGTGATTCCTAAGCATTAAATCCAATTAGGACGGAATGTCTCCTGAAATTGCTTATTGAGTGGGGACCTGTCTTCTCCAAGGCATGATTCTGTCTATCATTTAATGTAATTTTCTCCCATGCATTTGTCATCCTCTTAAAAAATCCCTGTCCTATTAAGTGTCCAAGATTCATTTCTATGATGTATTCAGGAGATAGTGGCAGAGGACTGGAACACTGAATGCTAAAGTCCCAGACTCCAGGGTAGAGTTATTCATCTAGAAAATGTGGAGGTGCTTAATTTTCAAGCAGTCACAATTATAGAGGAGCTGAGAGTGAAGGAAGTGCTGTGCTGCTCCTTGACGTGTTTGAAACACCCGGTCTGCTTGACCTTTTAGATGTGCCTCTCTATGTGCTGGCTGCTCTGGCATTGCCTTTTAGTGTGCTTACTGAGATTGCAGGAGCAAGTGGGGTATAAAACTCAGTGGGATGGCTGGGCTGTCTCCTGGCTAACCATAACTCTCTGAGATAGGTGATGCCTGGGAGATCTTTCTGTTTGTGCAGCAGAAGCTGCTACCTTCTTACCTGTCCCTATGCCAGTGATGGACTGAGAAAATTCCCCTCACTGGTTTTTTTTTTTGAGGTTCAGACACAGACTGAGGGTGCCCAAACCTACATTCTTTTCTCAACCTTGTATTTATCCCTCAGCAAAAGGAGGCAGAACAAATGGGGGTTTATTTTTATAGCTGAACATCTGGCACTGCCCCATCCCATGGAAATAGGGAGGTCCCCTCTAATTTGATCACTGAGGCAACAGTCAGTCATTAAGTCAGAGCCTGAATTACTCCCTGCAGTGCTCTGAACCCCCCTGACCTCCTTTGTTTTCCCACACCAGCAGACATCCAGGCCGAGATGGTTGCTGAGAATGCCCTGCCCAAGCTGTGCTCTCTCCTGGCCTCTGGCAGCGAGGACGTGCGTCGCGCCTCCATTGCTCTGCTCTGGATACTCTCCCAGCACCCACCTAACCAGGTATGGGAGGACATTCCCAAAAACCAGAGGGGAAAGAGTAGTTCTGGCCACCACCTGGGGTAACAATCCTTTATGGCAAAACTGCCTATGAAATGTATTTTGAGAATGACCAAGAGACTCTGGAAGACTTCCCAACCCTTCTCTCTTATACCTAAAATAACAAGGCTTTGTTTACTGCATCTGCACAGTAACTAACTACCTGAGGAGCCATTTGTTGTGCTAAGTGGGATCCAAAGGAAAGGCCAGTGAGAGAGTAGAGGGGGAGATGGGTGTCGGAGTCAGGTATGTGGATACTGCCTTGCACTCCCTGCAACTCCCTCTAGTCCCCTCAGTCCCCAGACCATAGGTGTCCAAATGGGTGTACAGGGTGGGGGGAGAACATACACAGCACCATGAGAGACTGCCACCATGAGGGCAACCAAGGAAGTTATTTCTTGGCTATAGAGCTTCCCCACACACTGAAAAGCAGAGAAACTAATTTAGAGCACACATTTAAAGTGCATAAGTGTAGAACAAAGGGCAAATACACATTACTTACCTACATGGACAGCTTTGTTCAAAAGTGCATTTGTAAAATATTAATATATTTTGAATTAGGATCAAAATGAAAAGGGGGACTAACAGAATTTGAAATTCTGTTCATCTTTAGTTAATGTAGCAGCACTTTCACTAGGACTGTGTATCCTCGTGTCCTAAGTTATAGAATGATTCTGTTCGTTCATGGTAAACACCACCATTAATAGTGCAACACTAGAAAATATGTGAAGAAGTCTGACTACAATTAAATTATGGCAAATACTGACAGATTACTCTTGTTTTTACATAGACTTTTCTTTACAGTAATGAAAGACATCCTTAAGAACATAGATGTGAAAGGTTTTTGGTAAGTGTTTTAAGCTAACAATAGCATTTGAAGGTAATCAGAGGTTGGATATATAGAGGAAAAATATGTGGGAAGCTTTCCTGCCACATTGCTTCAAGCAGTAGTGACAGGGTCTGAATAGCTTCAGGTGGCCTTAGGTGCCTGAAATACACTCAGCCTGATTGGAAATTCACTCTGGGTTTGGAAAGCTTGGCATGTTACAGTTCAGTTGTCTGTAAGCAAACCAAAATTGCACCTCCCCTACCTCTGGGACGTGATGGAGAAAATGGGTGAGCTCAATGCCTGGGAAGCAGCAGCTAGAGCAGAGCTATTCAAGGCACAGTGGCTGCATGAGCACCGAACATCCTCATTGCTTGTCAAACTGCCTTATACAATCAAATCACAATTTGCACTCACCAGCTTACAGTTGAAATGCATTAAGTTAGTTGAAGGCCATTTACACAGTAAATATGTTATTCAGTATGAGACATTATGCTGAAACATGGTCCTCACTCAGTTTTGCTTTTCTTGTCTCCAAACACTGTTTACATCTTTGGTTCTCCCAGCAAAGACTACCCACAGATCCTTTTCTCCCTGGTCCTAGAACTTGTCTTTACCAGTGTTTCAAACCCCTGGCCACAAAGAGACATGGTCAGCATCAGCGGGAATGAAGACACTGGGAACTCAGCCTTGGTACAATGGTGAAACAGTCCATCCTTCATGAGGGAAAAAGGGTCAGCAGTAAGAGGCTGCAAAGCAAAGCATCTCACTTTATTTTCCAGTGAGAAGTATCTACATCTCTAAATTTGTTTTAGTGAGCAAACACGGCTGTCCCTGACTACTGAATGATCCTGCTTTGTGCGAGTGAGCCCTGGGCACTCTGAGAAGAGGCTGACCTCTTCGTATTCATATCCTGCCTCCCCATCTCCATGCCTTTTCTGGCCTGTTTTTCAAGTCTTTTCAATGTTTCTTTCTGTAACTCAGGCTGAATTCTCCGTGACTGAAAAAGGGACTTCTCCATGGGAACAACTGTTGGAAAACAAACCACTGAACAAAGCTAACCTTTACAAACAAGTCAAGTGATGCTTGAATTATTACAAATACTACCCAGGATACAATGGCAGAATCCGTCTGCCCTTTTGTTACCACGAAGCCAACCCCCAGGAATGCTTCACAGGAGCTCCTTGCCCTGCTTCAGCCCCCTTTTGCAATCTCCTGGTCAGCCTGTTGACAGGGATTCCCAGCAAGGGCTGGAAAACTTCCCTCTTGCAGAGGGAATTGTACTCAGTTTTCCCAAGGAGAGCCCAACCCTGAAACACTAAAGAATCAGGCTTTCTGAGAAAAGAGTCTTTTAAGTCAAAATCCTTTGAGCAAAAGACCTGGAAGTCAGGGTCTGTCTATTCCAGATGGTTCCACTGACTCTTCACTCCACGTACAAAGTAATTTTGCCTTACCATCTTGCTAACTGGTAAATGGCATAATATTTACCTTGTCAAGAAATCCCTGTGTAAGAAGTAAGTGTGTAAGCACACTTGCTGCTGGAATGCTTTTCCTTGCCTTTATTTTTTTTAATATTCTAGCCTTGGAAGAAGTTAGATCAATATCCATCTGAATCACTCAATCTATTTTTACTCACAGTTTTCTCGTGATTCTCTTGCACTATGCAGGACTGAGCCAGAAAACAAAATCTGGATTTCAGCCATATTCCAGCCAAAAAAAGAAGTTCAGCAAAATTCAAGTACTGTCACTTGCTAATGTAGGTCCTAAATAAACAAAAGATCTTGGCAGGGAACTCATTATATATTAGAAAGTTCCTTTATAATCCATAGAAAATTTCCTCCTCTCAGGCTGTAGCAAATCAAAAACGGGTATCGTGGTTGATGTGATTACATAGAAAAGAGGACATTCAGCCCAAAAGCACAGAAAACAGTCACAAGTGGTAATTTAATTGGATTTTCTAAAACTGTATTATTTCTTCCTGTAAAGAGAAGGAACAATAAGACTAAGGAAAATTTACTGTCATGTCTGCATAAAGAATTCTTTAAATGCCCTGTGTTTAGGCACAGAGCTGCCCTTTACACTTATTTTTGTATTTTAATTTAGGATTGCTGGTTGTGGCAGTGCTTAAAATGAGCTAAGTGAAGATGCCAGCTGGTATTAAAAGAAAGTAAGATACACTTTTGCAATTTAACCTAAGCAAAAGAAAGATTAAAGTTAAACTAACTTTTAAAGACATCTGCCTCTCAACACTGCTTTAATGATCCTGATATTTCACAGGTTTCAGAATTATGTGATTTTCTGCAGCCGTGTATAGGACCAATGATTTGTTTTGTATTGAACTCCCTTGCTAATGCGTCTTGGTTTCCAAGCAGTACAAATAATATAGTTCATTCTAAACAAACAGAAGAACTGCATTAAAAACTCTCGAATTCCTAAGGGAAGGAGACTGAAAGAAAAAACACTCCCAAGAGGAAATCTTTTGCTTTTAACTGTAGACCTAACACAAACTGTGTTGAAGTCACGTTTCTCTTACACACAGCAGTGTCCCCTTAATCCATATTGTTAACTACCTGTGCAGTAATCCAGACTCAGCTCTGATACGCCAGGACAAGAATAATGGCTTCAAACTCAAAGTAGGTTTAGATTTGATATTAGGAAAAAAATTTCTTACTGTGAGGGTAGTGAGGCACTGAAACATGTTGTCCAGAGAATTTGTGGATGCCCCATCCCTGGAAGTGTTTAAGGCCAGGTTGGATGGGGCTCTGAGCAACCTGGCCTAGAGGAAAGTGTTCCTGCCCATGGCAGGGGATTTGGAACTAGATGATATTTGAGGTCCCTTCCAACCCAGGCCATTCTGTGGTTCAATTAATGTTAATGGTAATTGGAAGAAGACTACATTCAGAGAGAGATACTCAGCAAAGTACCTCTAAAATATCACCAGACAGCAGAGAAATGTGTCTAGGGAAGATGTTGCTCAGGACATGTTTACTAAGGATGTGCCTGATCATAAACGGATCTAAATATACAACCCATTATTGTAGCCAGGTAAATTTCTGAGGTACTCAAGGACACACTGCTGCTGCTACTTCACCATGTACTTCTGCCTTTCACACTGACACTGACCACCTCTCCTTCCAGTCAGGATCGCATCCTTCCTCTGACTAGCAGTGACCCTGGTGAGGTATTTGATGGAAACAACAATAAACTGCACGACCTTGAAGACTCCAGCCTTCCATAGCAAGTGCTCAAAACTCAGTGCCAGTCAGGCCACACTTGAGAGAAGCAGCACTGGACCCAGCCACATCCTTGGTTTAAATAAGCAAACCAATGCTCTTCTTGCAGATCTAAGTGGGATTTCTCCTTAACTCACTGCAAAGTCATGTTGTGTTGTCCATATGGGATGTAACTGAGATACTGGTTGCTCTTCTCAGGACACTCTGGCATGTGCTGAGCTACTGCAGAGCCTGGGGACATTACTGGCAGCACATAAAACAGACTCTGTGATTGTTGGACATACTGCTTGCATCATCAAAAACCTGAGCCTTTCCAAAAACAGACAGGTAGGTACCTAGTGTTTGTCACTGAACTACACCCTGTGAGGCTGCCATTGTGTTTATTTCAAATCAGCATTAAAAAAATTTAATTCTGTGGGCAATTAAACATATGCCAGTTTGCTACATACTTTACGCAAAATTGCATGTATGACTAAAAGGACCATAATGAAAGGTAGTTTTATTTGTATTTTCCCAATACAATACAAAAAAGCAATTAAAATAAGAAATATCTCATTTTTGCTATGAGTGATGTGGTTACCTAATATGACTGCATCATAGGTAGAAAAAGTTCTTCTAGCAAGGACACTTCATACTGATTAAAGGAATAATTCAGGAAAATCTTAGGTCTGTTATGAACTGAATCTTTATTTCCTGTCTCTCATGCTTTAGCTGTCATTTGTTGTGAAATAGAACCCCAGCTATTCATGTATATTTTGCCTCTTTGGCAAGATACTGGCTGTGCCAAAATGCTATAAAGATCTTTCTTGTGACTTTGCTTTCAAAATCCATATGTACAGATGCACTTCCTTTCTCCTTGCCTTGACCAAACAGTACTACCAGTAGCAATCAATACTGAGGGAAAAAAACCCACCAAATCGTCATTTCTGCTTTGTCTCACTTCCTAGTGCAGACTTTTCAAGACTCAGTTCTTTTTTTTCCCCTCTTTGTTCATGATCCAATTACTACTAGTTCCAGAGATTTAAACCAGCAGAGGGAAAAGTATGGTTTTTTTTACTAAGATAAGAATTATATAAATTTCTAATACCTGTGACATCAAGTTTTGCAGGTAAGTAGATTACCTTAAACTCAAGACCCACAGTAGGAATAAAAATGGACCATCCATTCAAAGTTTGAAAAATATTATCTTTTCTTGAATGACTTAAATTCTGTGACTTTATCCTGTTATCAGCTGGGAGCTGTTTCACCTTCATAAAGCTTTATAATACAGAGAGTATCAAGTACTCACTGCCTTAGTGAATACACAGGCATGAGTGAGAGTGCCAGGTTTCCAGGGTTAGTTCTAAGGAACACTCCCTAAAACACGTAAAAGTCCTTGGCACGAGAGGAAAAAGACAGTACTGTTTTTATGCCAGCAAGACAGAGTGTGGGAGCTTGAAAAGCAGCAGTCTCAAATCCACCTTGAACCTCTAAGCAGCAAGTTAAAAAACTGCAGCATAAAATGAGTATCAGAAAAAGATACTCCCTTTTGTTGACAGACACCTGTGCTCACTTATGAGCAGTTTCCATTGTTAGGGCCTCCCAGAGAGCTGATGACTTCACTAGCAACTAGTTACCTCCAGCTGACTCATTCAGAACTCATTTCTTGGTCTCATTTTTTGCTTTTAATCAAGGTCAGTGCAAGCTAAGTCTCCTATATGTTTTCAACTCAGTCTATAAAAACTCAGTAGAGATGATCTCTGAACAATCCAAGGTGTTTTCACTTGATTGTGGTTCTTGTAGATCTGGGAGAAGACATTTCCATTATTGATGGTTTAGCCCTCAGTACTGTAGAGTATTTCTGAAGCCCCCAGGCACCACTAAACATGAATGTCTCTCATGTGGCAGAGAATCACTGAGAGCTGCTGTGTCGAAGGTCTCCTCCGAACCATGCTTTTGACCGACACTCAGGAAGACTCCCTTCGTTACGTGACATCCTGCCTTGCTGAGCTAGCAAAGCAAGGTATGGCAGTGACTCTCCATGAATGGCTGAATCAGAGAAGTGCCCATGTCCTCTATTAATTCTAATAGAAAATGGAGCACAGCTGGACATGCAGCCCATCTTTCCTTTTAAATTCGTTGTTTAGTTGTAAGTTTCAAGAACAAAATCTATTTCACTGGCGGGTTGCATGGGCTCCATTTTCTATGCTTTTGTTCAACTGCTGAAAATTCTTTACTCTAAATTTTTTGTGCTGAACTTTATTGCTGTACACAGGCTGTCTACTTCTATTTGTAACATTTCCCAGTTTCTCAGGCTGAAATAATTCTATGATTGCAGAAAACTGATATAAAAAAAGAGACTAAAATACGAAGTAGGTCTTTATCTTGAAAGTTTTTGCACATGGATTTTATCAGATACCAAATTGGCACTTGTGAAAGGTACAGCACTCTTTATAGCAGAAATGATGAGTGTAAATTTTCCCAACATGTCCCAGCATTGGATATTGTCAAACAAGTCATCTCTGTAATGGTCATGCAGCTGGCAACACGTCACATTTAATTTTGCAAGTAAAGCACAGTAGTTGCTGGACAGACTGACCCCAATAGGCCAAGAGTGGATCTGGCATACAAAGTGATTAATTTTTGCAGAACAAAAAGCCAACAAAATATAAACCAAATCCATGGCCTTACCTTACTGAGAGCATAGCCTCAGAACATAACTTTTTTTACAACCTAAACATACTTATTAGCCAAGTTCAGCACTTATTTTGCTTCTCCAGTCACCTGAAGGATTCACTATTTCAGCAGTTTCTGGGAGACTTCTCATTTCTTTGACACTGGAGTTCCTATTTAGAGAATACTCTCTTACATTTCTGCCTTCCAGAAGGAGCCATGTTACACATGGTCCAGTGGATGGATGAACCTTTGACAAAGCACTTGGTGAGACTGGCTGGCCAACTGGAATATCCGGAGCCATCCTTTCATGCTGCCTCCATCATCCAGCACATGATTGGTCACGGTAACCCACACAGGATTAACTTTGAAAGAGACTTATGGCTGTCTGGAGTGAAATTAGCCTTTTCCCAAGGGACTGTCAGGCACTGAAGAACCTTAAATATTCCTCTATCACCACCCCCCCCCCCCCCCAATTTGGTCTCTAAAAACTTTTTAGAGTACAAGTGCCTAGAGTCACCCTTGAAATGAAACAGTCCTCGAGTGCATGAGAAAGTCCAGGGATGAAATGGACCACAGATAAAGGTCCGATTCACATGTTTGTCACCTTCTTCAAGAACTGCTATTCTGCAGGGCTGGTCCATAGCCAATTCTGAGGACCTTGCAAACAACTTCAGTAGGAAGGTAGGAGACCATTAAGATACTCCTCACCATGGGAGAGATGAGAACAGACAAGAGTCACTTCAGACAAAGTTACATCTTTCTGTTTGACCTTCTTTCTCAGTATGTAACATGCCATGGAATCCCCCACAGAGAGCAGAGTTTGTGTTGCAAAATTTTAGATTAACTCTGCTCCCTGACCAGCAAGAGAAAAACTCTTACTGAGCCAAACCCTGCTGATATAATTCTAGACTAAATTAGCAGGAGCAGTGAAGTAAAATGGCTTTTAAGAATGTAGCCAAAATTTTTAAAGTTTCAATGAGAGAGAATAAAAGACCATTATTTTTACCTGTAGAAAACAAACAGCTTTATACTTAATATACTTGTCCCATGAAGCCGAGAGCCTTTAAGACTTGCAAGAAAAAGGTGTTCAGATGATACTTGCCACATTCTAGAAAGGTATAGATTTTAAGCATTAAACATAAGAAAATCTGGAATCTGTAGTGAGTCCCCAGTAAGGGAAAATGCAAATCTGTTCCATTTCTAGCATTGCGATTTCCAACAGAGCAGACTCTCAGGCAGTGAACAGAATCCAACAGCATAATCATCTCATGGACAGCTTCACCTCCCAGGCCAACTGGTCTGTGAACCAGCAGGCCTCTTGCACAGGGATCAGATTCCCAGCACAGCAGTCCACTCATCCTTTTATTTACCTGAAGTATCAGCAGTAGTATCAGAAGCTGTAGTACAGGGAAGTCCCTTGCCAGTCTTTGCAGTAATGTTGGTTTTAGCTGAAGGTGGATGAGTCATTATTGATCTTATAAATGTTGTTTACAAAAGTTTTCAAAGTGTTTAAAGGCTCATATCCAGTGGTTCTCCCATTTATGCAGAAAAAATGATGATTTTGTGGAAGCATCACATTGGAGAGATTCAAGCCTACATCAAGAATTTTCTTACCCACCAAGAGGTCCGTTTTCAGCAGCTGGGCATCTCCACATTCTGCAGGCTACGAGCAGGTATGTCCCTCCTGCCAAGGCTGCCCACACCCATCAGCAGCAAACAGGCACTGCTTAGTAACGGAGATCACAGAATCATTAGGGTTGGAAAAGACCTCTAAGATCATCAAGTCCAACCATTGACAGTGCAAACTTCTCTGGGGACTAGCTCTGCTCACTTAAGAAAACAGAATAATCTCAAGGGTAGCTGTTACCTCACCTGTTCAAAACAGCTCTTTAAGAGTATGTCCTGATAAAGGCAGGAGGATTTTGTTTACTTGCTTTAAAATTAAAAGCTTTCTGAACAGCAGGGAAGCAGGACTTCAGGAACAGATGCTTTTATCCTATATAAGAATTTCTGGGCACTAGATGAAACCTAAAAGTTTTACAAATATGATTTTATTTTGATAAAGAAAGCAAATGGGAAGTTGCACGATTAACTGATATTAAAGATGGGAAGTCTCACATTTTCATACTTAAAAGTCCATTCCTTAATATCTTTTCTAGGTTTGGCTAGTCTTCTTGTCTTTGGATAAAAGTTGAGTACTTCTGAGAGTTATAATGTGGTAATAACTGTATATAGCACATATCTTTACATATGTAGAGCCAGAGCCAAAATCCTGCTATATCTATATAGGCAGCTGCTGCATAAGGCTCAATTTGGCATCTGAGATTTATAAATCTGTATCAGGAGAATTTAGCAGCATTCTGGAACGGTTGTAGGGATGAAAACTGAATTTGTATCTGCTTGTGTGATATTTTTCTGTCTTACCTGTAATAAGAACCACCAACCAACTGTATCTAACCTGAAAAAGTAAGTTTTCTATGCATCTGCCTTAGAACATAGGGAAAAACAGCAGGTTGCCTAACATCTGTTATTCCTCTTCAGATCTAGACTTTTCACTAGCATTCAGAGAAAGCCAAATGGCCAAACTCCTTGAGCAAGTCCGTCAACAAACAGAAGAAACTCAAGAGCTCCTTCGGGTAGCTATGTGCCATGAAGACAGTTAATATTTAAGCCAAATGGCTTATGAAAACTTACCAGATCCAAGGGCCTGAACTTTCAGAGGAAACAACTCTTCCATTGGTTCCTGTAATTTTCCTGCTACTTGCAGTTTCGTCATACAAGGGAGATGTCCTGATAACAAGAATTGGAGCAGGTCAAAACACAATTCCTTGAACTCTTTGGCTGGCTGCTTAACTGTGCTTGAGGACATGGCTACTTGTTGAAAAATACCCACTATGCTTGGTTAACCTTCCATGGTTTGTTTTTGGTTTCCTCACCCCCCCTTCAGAAAAACCAGCACTGCATTAATGAGGCATGCAACAGGCTGAGTGCACTCATGAGGCATCTCTCAAGTATGCAGGGGACTCTGCATTCATCTTTATTCTGTTTCTGTTCCATGTCCTGTATTTCAGAGCGCACTCCAAGGACTTTGGAAAATAATTGAATGAACCCATACTATAAAGGTAGAAAACTACGAACAGGTTACTATAGAAAGTAACTGCCAAGGGACAATTCAGAAAGTGCAAGAATCTGTAAGAAACAAGAATGGGTGAAGCCTTACAGCTGATCCTTGTCCACACTATAGGCACTACTCTCCAGCAGAAGAGCAAAGGCACATTAAGGCAAGGAAATGTTGCACAGAGCAAGTACAGAACACAGCAGGAACCATCAATGATTTTGGTGCGATATATTTACGTATGGAACTGTGTTCTGCAAATGTTAAATTATTTCCAAAGCTACTTGCAACAAGGGAAGAGTGAAAATATTTTACAAAATTAGGAATTTTTGTTATATTTTGATATTGATACCTCATTTTAAATGGAGTTAAAGAGCAATAAAAAGGTAGTCATGTGTTTAAATTGAACTCATCTTCTTCTGTATCTTCTTCCCATGGGTGGGCAGATGCTCAGTCATCTCCAGGAAAGCTCAGTTCCATCATGTGTAATGGTTACTTGGGAAGACACACACTGTAACTTCAAACATCCCCCCTTTCCTCTTCCTTCCCCCAGCTTTATATGCCCAGCATGACAATGTAAGGTGTGGAATGTCCCTATGGTCAGCTGGGGTCACCTGTCCCAGCTGTCCCCTCCCAGCTTCTTATGCAACCCCGGGCAGGTGGGATGGTGTGAGAGGCAGACTCTGTGCAAGTGCTGCTGAGCAGTAACTAAAACATCCCTGTGTTACCAGCCTAGTGTTCAGCACAAACCCAAACACAACCCCCTTCAAGCCACTGTGAGGAAAATTAACTCTACCCCAGCCAAAAGCAGCACACTGTCTTTTGAGTTGCTTCTGACTGTCTCATAACTCTTATGTGCATGTAGAGCTTTAGAGCTGATACTGGTTACAAACGTGGAATAAGAGTGAGATTAAAAAAATAGTTTAAAAAAATTATTCTGTCAGTTAAAAGCTCAACACTCCATTTTATTGTGGCTCAAATATCTGAGATTAATTTTGGTGCTTGGGGGAGGCATTTTTGATAATGACTTATTTTAATATCAGCAGGTTCTTTCCAATGGTACTGTTGGGGAAAAAAACAAAACAAAACTACCCCCCAAAAAAACCCAAACAAACATGTAAAAACAACCAAAACCACACTCAATGCAGTAAAAAAGCCTATTAAAGTGCAGGGTAGACAGAAACTTTGGATAAAGCAATATGGCATTTTCAATATTCATGTGTGACAGGGATCTTGTTTTGAAACAGTGCAATATTAAGTAATGATATCAGAATGTGCCCTGTATCTGTATTCTTAGGTATTTAATCTCAATCATTTCAAGGTCTTAGCGAATAACAAAGGATTCTTCATCAGGAATGAGGAGATAAAAGACATGATGCATGCAGAGCTAATGGTGAGCAGTGCAGCAGTTGTGATGTGCTGAAATAACTCACAGAGCATCATCCCTGTGAGCATCGATGTTGTGCTGTGGAGACAGGAGCACGGAGCTGAGCCTTCCCCAAAAGCACACAGCTCTCTGCTGGAGAAGGCTTCTGCTCCCAACCCTCAGAACAGCTGTCTAACACCTGCAACTTCTACCTCAGAGTAGTTCCACCTTGCCCCTCATGGTACAAACAATACAACCAGTTGCAATAGCAGGCAAAGGAGCTGGCCTTCCTCCCGTGCCATATTTTTTTGTCAAGAACACCACTCAACAGAAGAGAAACTATTTTCCCTGCATTAAAGAGAAATTCTTGCTTTCATTTGAAGCAAACCTGGATTGACTGTCATGATAAACTGTTTTAATCCAGCCCTGTTAAAAAAAAAAAAAAAAGCAAAAAACAAATTACATGTGAGAAATAAAACTGGCCCATTTTTCCACAAACAGTGAAGCAAGTGTTCTGAAGTCTCCCAAAAAACATACCAGCATAATTTATAACCAATCCTAAATAGCTCAAGATCAACACAATTTAAACCTGATCCTAAATGAATCCTAAGGATTAAAGCTGAAGCTAAATGTAACTGCTCTCTTTCTTGTCACAAGTAACTCTGTACTGGTTTTTTAGTAAAGAAATTAGAGAAAACCTGAAGCAAAGTTTTAAGCAGACCATGAGTAGCAAGAAAAATTTTCCATCAGAGATTGACTCTTGCTTCAATTATGCAAGAAAATGAACATATAAGTAGAAATAAATATTTCAAACAAGTTTTATTTGGTACTTACATGCTATATATAGTTTTAAAGAAAAACTACATATTTTGGACACTTCAAAATATTGTGGCTATGTACATGGAAAACTAAAGAAAGCAAGAAAGGAACCCAATTCATTTTACTGTGTCACAAGTTACTATTGAAAGCATTCTGACTGAATGGCTGTTTTTTCCCTTCTATAAATATTCTGGCAGATGAAGTCTCTTTCATTTTATTTCCACTGCTTTTATCCCATCTCCACTATAAGATGAACACTTGGCAGCAGCAGCAGCAATTTCTTCCAAAATTCTTCGGCTTTTGTCTCAGAGGATTTCTTCTGCTAGCACAGACTTTCTGCACAGCTTCCTAGAGGCCTCGCTCAGTGCTCACTAAAGGCAAGTGCACGAGTCTTAATGGTACATTCTCTGTTAGCAGGAGCTGAGAGCCCATGAACCTCCATTTCCCCTACCCAAGGATCTTCTCACTGATTCTGAGAGCAATGCCTCAAGCCTTCGGCGATGCTGCAAACTCAAGCGCCCAGAGCGAGCTCTGCCTCCAACAGCATTGTTTAGCAAAGCACAAAAACGTGCAAGATTTTACAGTTCTGCACAACAGCAACCAAAAGTGTGGGATGGAACAATGAATGACAGTAGAAATCAGCATCAAACTAAAGAGAAAGCAACCTGCATCGCTCCTCTTATCACTCAAACTGCACTGCTTTATAAAAACCACACGCTACATAAAAAAGCAGAAACAATGACCATTTTCCATTTGCTCTGAAACGAGCAAACCCCAAAAATCCCCAAACCTGCATCATCATCCAAAACTTCCAGGTTTCACACAGTCTTCAATAGTCTGATAAGGCAAAGGAAAAGTCTTCCATCATTGGGAACAGCAGCAATTTTCAGGACTCAGAACAAGGTATTTCCTTGTATGTGTGTGCACACGCGTGTGCACATATGCATACACATCTTTTATAGTACTGTGAACATGGATGTAACTAAAAAAAATCAAGTTTGCAGTTTCTTTTTTACCACATTTGTCTAATTTATTCAATTAAACGATTTATTTCTGTACTGAGCAAAATTCATAAATACATAATCTAGGAGAACAATAGGTTTTCCTCTTGTCCATGAAAAAATAACGCTTTCAAATTTTCACATTTTAAAACCTGTCTTGTTTTGTGTTTTTAGAGAAAATGTGAGAAAATCATAGTGACATCTCAATTTACAGAATGTCCCTGTAGGAATTACATTTACAAGAACCTGATACAGAAGCCTATAGTTTGCCCCCATAATTAGAGTTCTCTGCAATAACATTTAAACCAACAGGTTTAAATAAAACACCCCATTAACTCTACTTGTAGAGCAATGAGGCATTTATTTTTCAAGTATTAGAACCACAAAGTGTAAAAGATTCTTTGCCAATTTTACAATTATGCCTTTTAAACCAACACCCACCTTTTTTAAAAACAAAAAAGAATCAGTCCCACCACCCAAATCAGCCCGTTACTTTCAGATTCCAGTGTCTTGTGTCTTAAGGAATGCAGAAATATTCATTTACTAACAAAAGAAGCTTGTTGGAAATAGCCATATTAAGTAACGCACGTGAAGCATGATTTTTCTAGTGATGAAAGCTATTAGAATGGTGATCCAAGTCTATTCCCCTCATTTCTTCTGCTGGTTTTACTAAAGTCCTTCCAAAAAAGATATTCAAGAAATCTTTAAAAAACTGGAGAGAAAAAATAAAACACTCCTTCATAGCATGGAAGAAATTCCACTGACTGCAGAGATGCTCACGTCACCTTTGGTTCTTCAGAAGAAACAATCAGATCACTTCTAAAACAGAAGGTAAACATGACAGGTCAGAGTGGCAATTCTGTCTTCAAAATATTATGTGCTTATGCAAATATTTTAATGTGAGATGATTTTCCTAACATCTTTAGGCCAGAGAAAAATAAAGCGCTATCCAATTTAATTTGCTACATCAGTATTTGTTTACCAAACATTCTTGAAAAGTTATTATATCATTCAGAAAAATCCAGGGTCCTGAAAACCATCCCTCAATGCCTGCAAGAACTTGATGAGGAAAGCGCATTCAGAATTTCAAAAAGTAGTTTTAAAAAGTGGTAACTCCCCTTCTGCGTGTGCATGTCAAGCACTGCACTTGCAAAACTGGAACCCAGTTGGTGATCATAAGGTCAGAACAGCAGCTGTCCCCGCCACTTCTGTTTAAAAGCACAGGGAAAACCTTTCCAAGCAACTCCAAATGGCAGAAAGCGTATGTGAGAAGCCCTCATCCAAGAAACTATAAGGTCTCACCACCATTGCACTGCATCTGTATGTGCTTGGCAGGCATGGCTTTACAAAGAGATGCACTCCTGTCCCCAGGTAATTTAAATTTGTTTAAATTTTAAATGGAGTTTAAATATAAAAAATAATAAAGTTTAAAAATGCTTAAATGAATCAATTTATATTAACTGACAGCTCTGGGACCTCTGTAAACTACAGCCAATTACAAGTGTTGGTGAACCACAGCAAACCTACCTGCTGTTTGATGTGTTTGAACACTGTCTACCTGAGGCAAAAGAGTCCCCTTATCTTCGAAGGCTAGAATTGGATTCAAAGGAATTTCAGGACTATTGCTTCCATCATTGTTCATAGCATCCAGCCGGGATGGTTTCGAACCAATAGGCAGGTTCATGATCTCTTCAAAGTTATCATTCTGCATAGACATTCCATTTTCATTTGCATTTTTCTCTGGATTGAGATTGCTGAAAGAGAAGCAGGAATTTTTCCTTACATACTTTATCTAGAACAGAAATTCAGTCATCGTCAAAGCAATAGTACAAATGGAAGAGAAGTCTGCATCAATCCCAAGCATTCTTTTAGCCAGTGAAAACAAAACTATGCTTCTACCACAGTAGGAAATGCTGGTTTTTCAGCCAAGTACTTGGTATTCCCTTCCCTCAAACCCATGGGATAGTAGTTACCTTTGGATACATGATAGCCAGAACTACAGGGTGCTGTGTGGACACTGCAGTCCGAAAGCAACTGCAATGGGAATCAGGAGAGAAACCTCTGCAGCACTACCACTACCTGGAACTACCCACCTAATGCAATTTACAGCCCCTAACATCTTTTTCAGATCTCATAACCTTTGTTGTACCCTTCCTCTTATTGCAAATCAAGATAAGATCACTGTTATTTTTATTATTTCTTGGATCAACTCCTGCCATCAGTTCTGGAGCAGCTTCTTCTATACGCCACTTATCCACAGAAAAAAACTCCCTTGTCAATATAGCGCTTCTTTCAGTCTCTTCTCCCATACAAGATCTTAGGGGTCATTTCCAAGGCACTACCCAGCTCCACACTTCTCCTGTTGATCATGTCCAAGCCAAAAGAGCCCTGTCCCAGAACCCCTCAT